AGATACTGAAATGAACACTTCTTTATATTCTATATATTAAACTTAATGACTATGGAACTCATCTGTCTTCAGTCATTCAGCCATTTCCAGAAAGATCCGACACAGATAAGTCACCATCGCATGTCTGCTAAGAACATTAGAAACGAAACAGGCCGATCTATTTCGCGAAGGGTTAGTCCACACTGGATGTATTCAGAGTTAGATTTTATAGTGATTCTGTGACTGAATGTTTTTCCTCCTCTTGTCATTTGGATAATATTCACTATAAAATCTAACTCTCTGAATACATCCAGTGTGGACTAACCCTTCGCGAAATAGATCGGCCTGTTTCGTTTCTAATGTTCTTAGCAGACATGCGATGGTGACTTATCTGTGTCGGATCTTTCTGGAAATGGCCGACTGAAGACAGATGAGTTCCATAGTCATTAAGTTTAATATATAGTATATAAAGAAGTGTTCATTTCAGTATCTCTGCCTGCCCGGGGCTTCCGCAGAGATAACGTGTTTTTGGCTTTTACAGCCAAGGATGCATTCCAGTGTTTTTCCAGAAAAATCTTTGCTGAAACCCAGTAAGCGTGATGGTGCCAGTCAGTCAAGGTCACAAAGGGGGGGGAAGACCCCAGACACATGGGAGGGAGAAAGGCAAGGTGCAAACGTAAAATAGCGTAACGTAGCGGTGAGAATGGGTGAGGAAAAATACACGCTTCCCCACATCAGTGAGCTTGGCTGATGTCCCACGTAAGCTTGAGGGAAGCAGCTGTCGCCCTAACCTACTGAGGTCTCTAAGATGTGTGGTGGCGGCGTTTTGTGCAGTTGTGATTTACTGTACATTGAAGCAAATGTTCTTTATCGTTTAAATTTTATGTGGCATCTTGACCTTCATTGAAAGTGTAATCTTTGCCTTTATCATCATTTAGTGTGTAGTGTGTGGGGGAGGGGGGGAATAATGAAACCAGTTTGGGAGTGTTTTAGCTGTGTGACAGTGTATAGCACTGTGAAGAGGCACTCAATGTAATTAATGGTGTTTAATGAATGATACTTTGTGTCCTTAACATTTAATTTGCCTCCGTTTCTGCACTAGAGAATAGCCAAGCTCTTCCAGACAGGTACCGTTTCCTCTCTTGTCCTGGGCCGGTGGGGGTGGGGGGCAGGCAGGCAGGCAGAGTGTCAACATGTTAACCCATTAGTCACGCTTATTTTGGCATTAAACCTCAAACTTGGGGTGCATCTTCATAAGATAATTGTATTTTTTTACATGTTACACTGGAATATATAGCTGGTAACAATCTCAAGTGTAAAACTAAGCTTTTAAAGAAATTGGAAAGTGAAGTCGTTGACATTTGTGACATTTGGGGGGGGGGGTGGTAACAGGTGTACTTTATGGGGAGTGTGTGTGCGCACGGATACATCACTGCTGCTTTCCTGTGCTGATTTTTAAAATTTGTTTCCCTTCTCTTTCCTTTTCATTTCTATTCACCCTGTTTTGTGATTATGAAGCACTGAATAAAGGTGCAGGTAAGGACGGCCACCCTCTCTCTTATCTGTATTCAGGAGTGTCTGCATATGTATGAAGATCTCCCAGATGTGGCGTTTACCGTAACCACGTGTCATTTGCAGTGCATTTCCCGCAGTTGGTCGTGCAGGAGTACCTGATGCGGCCTAACAGATTCCACGCTGTGATCGGTAAGATCCTTCTGCGTGTCGATGCCACGATGCTCTTGTTTGATGAAGGCCTTTGAAGAGCAGTATGTGAAGAAGTGCAGAGAGTAGAGCAGAGAAGTGGTTTTGAAACGCTTAACGTGCGAGCGAAACTTGAACATCACCCCCAGTAGAAGAAAGCTGTTGCCTTTGTGTTGCTCAGATTTAAAATGTTTAAATTTGTTCATTAAGAATGAATTCCCATACTGTGATTTGCTCTTTATAGTCAAATGCCGAATTGAGCTGTTACTGAGGACCTCATCCTCCTCAGGTCTCCATCTAGTAACCGCATGCATTGAAACTGCCTTCGGTGACCCTCCCGTCTACCTGTGCCATCCGTGCCAGGAGAAATGTGCCAGCAGCCAGATAGTGGAGCACCTCACCTCCCCCGATCATCACCTCGCCTACTTCGTAAGAATCTTCTTAGCACTTTGATAGCCGTGTGAAAGGTAGCCCCTTAAAAGCTAATTAGAGTAGACGAAACTCAAATGGTGGCTTTAATTTGGCGTTCGTCACGTTTGCCAGGCACATGTGGGCCCGGAGAAGCTGCCTTTTGGCTGGATGTCGTCTTCTACAGCGACGCCGACGGAAACGTACGCAGCAGCAGAGCTGGAGGAGCGGCAGTGTGGCACTGGAGTACTTCGGGTAGGACTCTGCCCTCTGGTGGCTGGGTTTGGAGCATTCAGCTCCTATGCTCGGCGCTCTCAGCTCGTATTTAAGTCATTTTCTCAGGCTTGACCAAGGGTTCCCTCTCTCCGATCGTCCAGTAGACACACCGTGTCATTCCTGCTGTTTTGGCTTAAAGCAGGCCGTCAGGAGATGTGGATGTCTGAGACCACCTCTCTTTGTTTTTGTGTCCAGCTTCTAGAACTGCCGAAACTTTTGTTCAGAACAGTCCAAGGGCTCTCCTACTCCCAGGGTGAGCTTCCTGCAAGGTTTGCTTGTGAGAGACTCGCTCCTTAGTTTTCAGTGCTTATTAAGTGTTTTATTGACCGTTCCTTTGATACCTTCACCCCTCAAGCCATGAAGCAGATCTTCAGCACGGATGATTGCAAGCAGTGCCTGGAAGGTCAGTGGGTCTGCACGCTTTAACTTAACAGGGTTCCACCGATGTTTTTCTTGACAAACATCACCCACCTGATAGATTGAGTTATTTTTAATAGGCATCCCATCTTGGGAATTTTGATTTCAAGGTGGGGTGGAAATTTGTCTATTGTGGGGGTGGTTGCTGGCTGTAGTTTTTGTTCACCAGAGCTGTATCTTGATTTTTCTTGTCGGTTTTCCTGCTTGCAGGTCAGCACGTTGAGCCATTCAGTCTGCAGAAATACTGCAAGGAAGCAAATCGGACTTACCCCTTACTTGGTTGGTACTGCTCAGATAAACTCCGTCTTGATGTACGTGGCAAACTGCTGTCCGCCTTTGTTAAACTAGATGCAGATATCAGTAATGTATTTTTTTGGCAGTAACGGCCTGCAGGTACAGTTACAGTTACGTCCTGACAGGGCAGCTGCTGAGTGTCTGTTCCTGCACCTGCAGGCTTGCAGTTTCTGCTGGAGCTGTGCTGCATAAATAGCAGCAGCCCCAGCTGTTACCTGTGCTTGCTGTGTCAGAAGAAGGTCCCGCCGAGCCAAGCTGTGGCTCATCTCGTCAGCTTTGACCATCTCTACGGCTACCTGGTGAGAGTTCGGTCAGCAGGCAGAGTAGGAAGTCAAAGATGCGCTCTGAGGCTTAGGCCTGAGCCGTCTGCCCACATGGAAAAGGTTTATATGTGAAAGTTTTCAGTGTCACCTTTTATGCATAATTCTTTGAACTCCGTTTGAATCATGGACAACGGTTCCACACAACTAAAATGAGTGTTTTGAAAAAGAAATATTCTTTTACTACCGATGTCTGATGCATCCACTTTGCGTTCTGAGAGCATAACATGAATTTTCTCATGTCTAATTAAACAAAGTGAATGTGGAGAGATCATATATGTCTGCATTAGGGGGTCTATGGCTGGGACAGTCTGTTTTTTGCCACACTGCCTGCAGAGCATGAACACACCATCTGGGGGCGACAGAGTATGCTTGTTGTGCCAGTGGATGTGATGGTCTGTTTCTTCAATCAGGGCCAAATACATCCATCGTCCTTGGAGAGTAAAAGCAAGTACAAGGTTCATTCTCCCGTCTTTCGCTCGATGATCCTGAACCTGGCGCAGCAGGCAGAGCAGTTGGTCTCATCCGCGGACGTGCAGGTCTGACAAACTCTCGTGTCCTCACTTTGACAGGCCAGGACCTGCACTGCGACCTGCATTGGATTTAGGGTCAAATAACTGATTTAGGATCTGTTATGTAGAAACTAAAAATGGATACGGTGGGCTGATGGTCAAATCTGCATTTTGCTTTTGAATGCACTAATGTCAAAAGCATCACACACTGGCATTTGTAGTATTCTGGATTTTTTAATTCAAAATTTTAATCCTGGAACTGTCCCCAGTATAGTGTTCATAGATTTATTGTAACTTAGTTTTAAAAGATGATTACATTTCCTTTCTTTTCCTATCTACAGGCATATGAAATGTTCTGGAAGCTAAACAAACTCAGACAATTGGTGCAGACAATTGGTGCAGAAAATTGGTGCATAAATACCTGCATAAATACCTGTGTAAAAGTCAACCATGTGTTCATATTCCTGGGTTTGTAGGTCATGAAGGTAGATGCTGAAGTCTATGAGCAGATGGAATCTCTGAGCTTTTCTAATGGTGAGCATGACAACAAATGTCACTAAGATGCTCAGAATTTTATTTAAATTCTGGAGTCTTGTACCTGCTTGGAAAATCATTGTCACTGGCTATTTCTTCCAGCCCTGAAGAAGCTGCAGGAAATTCGCAGAGAGCAGAACCTGGGTGACCTTCAGCCCCAAGTGATTCTGGGAGACAGACTGGGTGTGTCTCACTTCTGGAAACTTCTGTCCGTTGAGCAACGTCAATGTTTGCCCAGTGTAGTGGCAGCGCAAAGCACCAGTCTGCCCTTCGCTTGTAGATGCTAACTTTATTTATAAATTAAATTCTTCAGTCTGTAGAAAGAAGAGAAAAAGAACGAACAGCCCTGACAGATCAGTTAAAAATAAGGAAGGTGAGTAAAGCCGTCTAGGATTCTTTTTCCATAGCAGCTAATATTCGTATCACAAATATTATAAAATGTAAAATGTTGCACTATAGAGACGTAGGATTCGGGTCAATCCCATCATCTTTTCTTGAGAGCCGCTTGTTTCTCCCAGATGATGTGACCACTGATGGATGCACGAGTCCCGGGGAGCCCCTGTGGAGCCCTGAGCACACGAAGACGGGGCCGGGTGGGTCACACTGCCC